AACGATTATGCACCTGGCCACGAATTGAAGGGAGTTTACCCTGATCTTGTGCCCTCTAGACTCCGTTTTGCCATCCAGGTCCCTTTTTTTTGAAATAGCTCAGCTCTTCCTCAGGAAAAAGATTGCTACTTTGGCTTGAAATCCGTCTGTCACCGTGTGGGAACTATCTGCACCTTTCTGACAGTCAGTATGCCTGGTCTCTCTCAGCACATAATTCTAAATCTTCAGTAAGATGCTGAGATGTTAACCACGCAGGTTTCTGGGTGTTGTGCGTCTGTAGAAGGTGTGTGAAGGTTTCACCAATTGCAAGGATATCATACAATCCTGGATTTGTTGGGGATATGCTGTAACTGTGTCTTTTAGCCTTTTTCCGGTGTGTTTTGTTGGAATCAGCAGAAAGTGAGCTATGTGCACTGGATCCTTTTCTTGTTAGTCCAGTGCTTTCTACACAAGTAACTGGTTCTGAGTCAATTGTGAAAACAGACAAGAACAGAAAGAGTGCAAATTTCTTCAACCAAGAAACCTGGAAATAATTGTCCTCCACATCTTGCAGAATATGGTCCATAATAAATCATTTATCAAAAATCGAGATACTGGCTGCCTCTGGAGATTATATTTGTGTCTTTGTAAACACACTGATATTTTCTTCTGGTAAATCATTCAATTTTTGATTTATTTTCAAGGGCTAGTTGCGTCAAGTTAGTACACTGTTGCAAACAACTGAAGGGGCGTGCTGTTTGATGCTGTCTACTATTTGTTAGGACATGCAGGCTACAAGCCTGGCACATCATGCTGGCACTGAAATTGAAACACCACATGACTTAATTGTGTGGTGGACACAATATCTTTTTGGACTTGACAGCAACATTGTGTAAGTGGAGAATGCAACTTGTGGTGTTAATCCATTGTAACACTGAAATAACCTCACCTGAGATAGCCTCACAGTTAACCACATTTTTTAAGCCACTTTGTTCTTTCTGGGTAATCTGACTGGGCAATTTCGAGGACCAAATGTATCAGCCTTAGGCTGATTCATGAGTTTGTATGATATGTAGTAACCAATGATCTGACCAGAGTGGCATTAACCCACAGCAGAGCTTTCATGTGCCCTATTTTCATATGAAGCTGGCACAATGAGCAAATGGCTTGGATCCTATTGTAAGATTGCCATTTAGGCACTCTTACATTGCATGGAACTGTAAGATTTCCCATACTGATACTGACCAGTGAAGAGATGGCCTTGCAGTAGATATAGTAGAGAACCTATCTGCTGATTTCTCAACTAGCTCACAGGAAAGGGAGCTCCTTTGACTGTTCAATTTCAAAATTGAATTCAAGCTCCGGATGTTGCCTATTAAGGTATGTAGGGATTTTTCTTTTAACATGTAGTTGCAGGTTTAAATATAGGAAATGTGTACAAGATGAAAAGTTTGATGAGCTTGTCACTTTTTTTTTCAGAAGTACTCAAGTTCTGCATTATCAAGTAACTAGCTACATAATCCACCACATAAGTAAACATTTAATTTAGGTGCTTAATCCCTTATAAAAATAAACATTGGAATTCATAGGCTCACTTCAAAATATTTGCAGTATCTTGAAACTGTCAATGAAACTGTAAAATAGCAGACATTTCCCTGCAATAATGGAGGTTGTGAAATCCGTCATGCAACATAACCCAGTGATGATAACCATCAAGCTTGTATCAACAGCTAAAGTGAAACAGCAAGCACTGATATTTTAAACAATCTTGATAGATTACTCATATTTAAAAGGAGGAATATTAAATGTCTTGACACCTTGACAGTCACTTTTTACAGTTGCATTTGACACTTTGGACGGATCCTTTTGACAGCCCTCCTAAGTTAATGCTTTTTTTATGCAGATTCATGTTTACCTTTAAGCCCTATAGGGCAACTGACCTCCTCTAAAAGCATCCCAATATCGTATCCAAAAGGATCCCTTTCATCTCCACATGATATTCCACTATTCAAAAGGATTGGGTAAAGTTTAGACCTGCTCTTACCAAGTCTAATTTGTTCAAGTCAATTTACCCACTCCTGGTTAATGGAAATCAAACATGGCTGAAGGTAAGCATTCCTTTATGTGGGCAACTGCCTCCATGAGCCATTGATGTGTAGTTTGGATCCCATCCCCATTTCCCCCCTCCTCTGAAAATTGTGGACGTTGTGTTTGGAGGCAAGACTTCTGGACTTTGGCCTTTACCTTTGTTTATACAATAGCAGGAAGCTCTCCATCATCGCTAAAGATCCAGCCTGTGTTTACAACTGGGACAGAGAATGAGTTTAGAAAGATGAGAGGGAATTTCATTGAAATTTACAGGATATTGAGAGGCCTGGGAAGAGTGGACATGGAGAAGATGTTTCCATTAGTAGCAGAGACTAGGACCCAAGGGTACAGCCTCAGTGTGATGGAATGACCCTTTAGAACTAGATGAGGAGGAATTTCTTTATACGGAGGATGGTGAATCTGTGGAACTCATTGCTGTAGAAGGCTGCGGAGACCAAGTCATTGATTGTATTTAAGACAGTGATAGCTTCTTGATTAGTCAAGGGATCAAGGGTTATGGGAGAAGGCAGGAGAATGGGTTGAGAAACATGTCAGCCTTGACCGAATAGCAGAGAAGACTAGGGTTGAATGGCCTATTTCTGTTCCTATATCATATAGTCTTATGGGTTAACCCTATTTGGAGAAGCAGGCACTGAGAGATAATTAACTTCAGAGAAATATGATTCTTGAATGGAGCTTGTGTGAAAATGTTCTGAATGGATGGCAAATTTTGCAGCATTGGAGTGGCACAGTAGAATTTGGTTCCCAGTTAGTCAGCAGGAGCTGAGTTTTACTTCACATGCAGCTGTTATGTGCGCATTCTAATCTAATGAAACATTTGGCAGTTTTTGAGTTTTGATAATCAGACATGAATGCAGGAGATGTTACCCATGTGATGTCACATTATTGTATTTCCAGTGAAATGTCCTCAATGCGGCTAAAACATTGAACACCTAATTAATAGCTTTAAAAATAAATAAGTATGAACAGATTGAGAAATCTATTCGGCTATGTAAGAATATAGGCTTAGGCAGAGATTATTGAATGGCATGTGCATATGGTTCTTGACTGCTGGTTCTATGGAGACGTACCATTATTAAGGTTACTGACATGGTCAAGCTTAAGTATTGTACAATATGGGTTTAAACAGGATGACTGAAGCAGCACGTCATCTTCTTATTGGTTGGTTGAGGTATGATACCGGGAGCTGACAAATTTAAGCCTTGGGCTGAAGGTAGCCTGGTGTTAATTAGAACTGCAACTCTGAATTTTCTTTCTGAGATGAAAAATGCAACTGTAGTTTCCTGCTATTTTTCAAAATGGAGGATTTATGTCTTGAAGCAATAACTGTTTCAGGCCAGTCTTAAGCTTTTGAACTGTCTGTGCCCTTCTGTTTCTTTCTCTTTCAAATTAATGGCTAGTTCAAGATTAGAGACATTTTTCAGTAGTGATCATTATGTTGGTGCAAATGGCAACTGTTGCAATATTAATATTTGGAAAGCTGTAGTATGCAGAGCTGCCAGCAGCAGATGTTGTTTGTACTGTCAGAATGAGTAATGTGCTACAATAATTCTCCTGTGAAAAAATATAGTCAGCACTTTAGAAGAAGCTTGAAGCGCTGTTTCCAATTCTGTCCACTCAAGAAAGGGAAAAGAAACATTTTTAATAAGGAGACAAAATAGTGTATATCTCTGTCGTGACACAGGCTGCACGGATGTGTCAAATCATGAAATTGTTTTTTTTTTGTCAATCTTCTTCAAATCGGGAGTGGGAACCTTTTCTCACTCAAACCAGGTGACATTGTTCATTGTAATATACTCACTGAGATCTGTCTGATAACATTACACATTACTGCAATTTCCTTGGGTCATATGGCTCAGTATCTCCCTGGATGAAAACTGAAAGAACCGCGGATGTTGTAAATCAGAAACAAAAGCAGAAGTTGCTGGAAAAGCTCAGCAGGTCTGGCAGCACCTGTGATGAAAAGTCAGAGTTAACGTTTCAGGTCCAGTCACCAGACCCGAAACATTAATTCTGATTTTTTTTCACAGATGCTGCCAGACTTGCCAAGTTTTTTCAGTAACTTCTGTTTTTATTTGCCTGGATAAATTTATTTAGCTATCAAGAGAGCACAGCCAAACACTAAGATTACACAATCCCAAAAACCAGGCAATTGAGAAACAGAAACCTGTAAAATATTTCAAGCACCGTGTCATTTGTACCCCTTTATAAGATGTATGTTTTAAGCAAATAAGTTCAGTTACTCAATAGAAATAAAATTATTGACTCTTCAGGAAATACCAGACTGAAAGAAACGTAAGAGACATTATATAATCTTAAGTGCTGTAAAATCTAATGTCAGTGATGTTTACTAAAAGTAAAATTCCTCCCAGAATATGCTGTTAACAATCCTTTGGACTGGTCTTTGGTCTTTATTGAATCTGTTGTTATGTCACCCATAAAAGTTACAGGATGGGTGTTGTGGAAAATTGAGAGTAACGTGTTGGTGTAGTAGTTAGGGAAGAGAGAAAAGAGAGCTGTATTCTGCATCAAACTTTGCGAGTGCCTTCAACTAATCAGGAGCATAGTCTGCTGTTGCTCCATTGGTAGCAATCCCCACTCTGAGTAAGAGGTTGAGGCTTCAAGTTTACACAGACAATCCACTACAATTTTGAAGGTGAGTTGCACTGGACTGTCTTTCAGATTAAAACTTAAATCATGGCCCTATCTGCCTCTCAGTAGTAAAAAATGATGAGAAGGGAATTCTCCCAGTGATTAGCCAATGTTTATACTCCTGCCAACATCAGTGAAACAGTTTATCTGATCATTATAACATTGCTGTTTCCGGGTGCTTGTTGCACATCCAAATGTCTGCTGCCTTTCTGACATTACAACATGTGATTACATTTCAAAAGTTTGTTCTGGACAGTAACATGCCTAGGGAACTTGATGGTTGTACAGGGGCTATGTAAGTGGAAGACTCAATTACACCCCTCCTCCCTATTTCTTACATCCCACATTTGAATTGCTGCTGATTTTCATTTTTTTAAAAAAGAATAATTTAATATGACCTAATTGATCAGGGGTGAGTTTTGCAGAAAATGAAGAATTAAGACGTTAGTGTTGTAGCTTCTGTCTCGAAGGGGGATTGATGGTGGTTTTAATCTGGCTGATAATGCAGTTATACAGCAGATGGTGGCCTGCAGCCAATACTTGCTAAAAATGATGGACAGATCTGGGTGTGTCTGCTTCCATGTGGTCAGTGACCTGTGCATGATAATATATGCAATACTAGCAATGAAAAGTTTCAAAATGACCTCAATAAGGGTTGCCTTGCAATGATACGGACACAGTATTATTCAAATTTTAAAAAAGTTGCCATAGCCTTACCAGACCATAGTGCTGCTCTATTAGTGGAGAGAGACAACTGGTGGTACTTTAAACTTAGGGTGACCATGCCTCAGGCAAGCAGAGAGTTTGAGAAGGAGAGTCTTCCATAGTAACATTAGCTGGTGCAGGAATTGAACCCATGCTGTTGGTGTCACTCAGCATCGGTTAGCTCAATTGGCTGGATGGCTGGGTTTATTGTAATCAGTACTAAAACAAAATGATCTCCTATTCTTTGGGAGAGTTTTGTTTGCTGCTCTGCAGACTAATTCCAATTCCCTGCAGCTGGGCAGCACTATGGGAAGCCACCTGTACAGCATCTTCATTGCAAACAGTCAAGAATAACATAGAATTGCTAGAAGTGGCACAATGTCAATGGATTTCTTCCTCATTGTCTTCATTGCACTCATAATTCACTCATCTTTGTATATTGTCTCTGCCCTGGCTTTCCTTCATTTCTCATTTCAAACCTGTTATGGCCCACATGCTATTCTGGGCAGCCAATTTATAATTTCGTGCACCAAAATTGACCTCAATGTCACCTCTCTGGTTGATTTCTGCTCGTCTTACTCATTGCATTGGGGGCAAATGATGTGTGTTAGAGAGGTTTTTTTTTGTTACATTTATGACTAAACTAAATGTTTCTGATGTGTTCCAGTGGCAACAGTGCCATGATCTAATTCCAAGCAATTTGTCTCTAGTAATTCAAGGTATATTCCAGATTATGTCAATGTTCTAGTTAGGAAATAGGCTCGTGGAACCATTAACGTTAAAGCAGCAATAATTCTAAAGTAGATTGAATCCATTTTGGAACATTGCAGTGATGTTGCAATTGCCATTGTTGCATTTTGTTTGGATTTCACACTCATTGTATCCTTTATTCCTAGGTACATGAAGCTTGGCACAAAGCACCCAGAGTCCAACACAGCTGGGAATGATATATTTGCAAAGTTCTCAGCCTACATCAAGAACTCTAAGCCAGAAGCTAACGAGGGTGAGCAGCATGTTTAATTTTATTCTTGGAGAGTCAAATTCTTGGAGAATCTTCTCTCCATTTTGGAATGTCTGCTAACAGGCAGTGCTTGGGTATTTTGGTAATCGATTATATTCTTCCATTTTAAAGGAGAAGATAAGTGATTTCCTTGTGCTTAGCCAGAAATCAGGCAAGCTGCCACAGAATATATTGAGAAACCGAGGTATTGGGCTGGGGACCCTAGTGCAGGACAACACTAAGTTTAAAAACAGGTAAAAAGAAGTTGGGTAAATCAGGAAATTAAGTGACACAAAGGTACGCTTCTAAAAGCATCTCGATTTTGGCTGGACATAACAACAGGGAAGTCTGGAATTTAATACACTTGAGATTCTGAGAAAGTATAAGTTTGAATAAGATGTGTGTGAATGAGGATGATACTTGTCCATGGAAAAGCCTGCACATGGAGCGTTTTAATGTGGTGAGACCGTTGGGCTGCATCTCGCGCAAAGCTCACAGTTCTGGCTGACCAAGAAATTCTCCTGCTTGCCATAGGCATCTTGAATGGATGTACAGATTGATTATCAATCTGTAAGGCTGCTGTTCCCTTCTGTGGCCATCAAGACCTAAGATGGGATTTGAACCTGAAGCTTCAGGGCCACAGATGGGACACTACCATTGTGCCACAAGACCACCTCTGGCAGGAGTGTAGGGACATGTACTATACCCTCCTCTCCCTCCCAATTAAACACTTCCACCATCAAGGATGCCATTTGAAAAGGCTATTAAATTCTATCTGCTAACTCTATTTCTCTCCACAGCTTGACCTGCTGAGTATTTCCAGCCTAATTTTTCCCTCAGCTATTCTCCTATATTATCCAGAAGTGAGTTTTGCTCAGAACAGGTGTCCATAAATGGAAGTTAGTGCAGTTCCTCATGCCTGCTAGTTTCCTCACCTCAAAGGACCCCTAAATGAACAGAAAGGGACTGTGTATTAATATGTCGCGCACAGCCCCACAGCAACAATCCCTTTATTGCGATATGTGGCAGGGAGACAAATATGCTACCTGATAGTAACAGAATGTCTACCAGCAATAACCTAGTGGTACAGTGGTTAGCACTGCTGCCTCCCACCACCATGCTCCCAGGTTCGATTCCAGCCTCAGGTGACAGGCTGTATGGAGTCTGCATGAGTTTCTGCTGGACGCTGTGATTTCCTGCCCCAGTCTAAAGATATACAAATTAGGTGGGTTGGCCATGCTAAATTACCCATCATGTTCAGGGATGTGCAGGTTAGGTGTGTTAGCTATGGGAAATGCAGGGTCACAGGGGAGGGGAATAGGTCTGGGTGGGATGCTCTTTGGAGGGTTATTATGGATTGGTTGGGGCAAATGGCCTGTTTCCACACTGTATAGATTCTATGGAAATATTCTTGCCTTGGCTAGCACAAAATCACCAAGCTTTACCTTCCTAACTCCTGTAATGAGCTCCTCTCTTCTACTTGAGTGGCTTGATCCTTATTCAGCAAGACTTGGACAATGTTTGGGATTGGACTGATAGAGACAAGTAATATTCATGCCATACAAATGCCATGCAAAAGACCAGCTCCAACAAGAGACAGTCTAACTATCTCTGCTTGACATTCACTGACATTACCTTCAATGAATTCTCCATCATCAGTGTTCTGGGTGTTATTATTGACCAGACACTGAGCCAAGTTTAAAGAACTAAATCACAGGATAGCATTGGCAGATTTATCGAGAATTATTTTCTGTAAAATAACGGAAGGTAGCCTGCCAAAAAAATTGTTGGATTCCAATAAATTTCATTCAAAAAATAGCACAAAATCCACATGCCCACACCCTGTGCCCTCATCAGAATTTATTACTTCCATGTGGAGAAAGGAATTGATCTAAAAATCCTAATGTAATGAAAACAGAAAATGTTGGAAATATTCAGCAGGCCTGGCAGCTTTGGAAAAGACAATTGTAAACCATGGAACCTGTAATCCAAAATAATCAAGTTGACTGACTGAGGGCCAAATGAAAAATTACCAACAGCTTGGTAATGCAGCTTTTAATTTAACTTGAATCAGAACTAATTGAAAGTGAACAGGAATTAACAGGCAAATGATACCTCAAATAAAAATGTGACTACATTTTAAATAGTCAGTACCTTAAATAGCCACAAGCATTTGCATCAGTCCTTGAGGTCATCTGACACCTCATGTGCAGTTCTTATCTTCTGTAACTCAGCCTCTGGTACATAGCTGATTCACCACTGAAATTACTTTCGTGCTCCCCAACTGTTAACCTGGTGTATGGCAAAGATTTATCCTCTTCTCTGAATGTTGTTACTTGGTAATGTTATCTGAAGACAGATGTCACCCAGGTCTACTTTACTACTACCCTCTTGACACCTCCACGGTTGCTAAATTATCAGGCTATTTGTCTCATGTCCAGTACTGGATAAAGCAGAAACTTCCTCCAATCATCCTGGGGATATTGTAGCCATTGTTCTTGGTTTGTGCTCTGAAATTGGTTCCCTAGATACTGACTTTATCCCTCTCCCTGGTAACATACTCAGATTAGGCTAGCCTGTTTGCAACATTGGTGCCATATTTGACTCTGGTGACATTGTGAGTATACATTCATGCTGTCAGTAAGGCTGCCAATTCCCAAATATGTAACCAGATCCCTGTCTCAGATCATCTGTTGCTGGAACCCCCATTCCTGCCTTTTGTTACCTCTAAATCTGACTGTTCCGTTGATCTCGCTAATCTCCCATATTTGACCCGCTTCAAATTAGAGATCATTCAAAACTCTGCTGTCTCAACTCAGTTCAAGTCCTGTTCACATATCATTCCTGTGTTTGTTGACCTACTTTGGCTCCCTTTCAAGCAATATCTTCATTTTAAAGTTCTTATCCTTGCTTTCAAATCCCTCCATGACCTTGCTTGTAGTCTTCTTCAACATTACAAGCCTCCAAAATATCTGTTCTCATCAGAACCTGAACTTTTTGTGCATACCTGATTCTAATTCTACCCCTGGTGGTCTTCGTTTCCCTATGCCCTAATCTCTGCAGTGCCCTTCCTAAGCTTCTCTGCCTATCTAATTTACTTTTCTTATTTGGAAACTACATCCATGACGAAGTTTTACATAATTTGATCTACTACATATTTATGTGGCTTGCTGTTATATTTTGTTTGTAATGCTCATGTTAAGCCCCTTGAGACATTTTACTTTGTTAAAGGCTCTATACAAGTATAAGTGGTTGTTTTTGATCCTTGTTCTGTGAAATCACTGATTAATGCTGAGGAACAGTTCAATGGCTGCTGGCATCTTCTCAATGCGATCTAGTTTATTTATAAGCCTCAATGGTGATTTTCAGGCTATTTATTTTGTATCACTGCCAAGCCTCCTCTTCATTTATAGATTATATTTTTCTCAAAAATTAATAATTTCATTTGAGTTTATGGTTAACAGTCACAAATCATAGGTGCTTCAGATCAACACAAATTTTAGAAATGAGGATGACAGAAAATTAGATGACTCAATACCTGCATAACTGCTCATTTCATGGTTATTAGTTATCAAACCCTTAAAATCTGTACATCACCAACAAATCTGCAACTATTTTGTTAGTACAATATGGTAAGGCGATTAGTGAAGGTTTTTTTAAAGTCTGTCTTACATCCATAATGAGAGATCCTGTTGACTAGATTGGCTGAAAAAACATGGAACTGGATGTTTCCCATGGGGCTTTTGGATCCAGGAGTTATGCTGAAGTTGGGAGCAGAAGCCCACCCTGTGTGGGAAACGGTCACTCATTGTGATTTTTCTCAGAGTAATCATTTAATGACCAGACCCTGGACTCGCCATCTGATTAAACACAGTGGGTGGGTTCTCCATGTTGGAGGGTCATCAGGGACCTTCCAGCTTGAACAAAGCTGACAACAGAGTGACTGAAAGAAAGGGAGCTTCAGAATGGAGAGCATGAACCTAAAAAAAGGTGGCTTAGAACAACTGCAGCGGCTACACACAGATGAGGGATATCCTCTGGATCTGCAGTCTGCTGCCGGGACGCTGCTGCCAACACAGCAGACCTGTGTTATCTTTGGCAAATTGGAGGCTGACTGGGAAATCCAGCTCTGCCATTATCTATCCCCCATCCCCTCCCTGTCCCAAGGCACCTCCAGTTTAGTGACCCAGGGACAGGATAAATCTGGCAAACCTGTCAGACTGGGAGCATCATTGTTGGTACCTGTCTGCTTGCCTCTGTTCCTTGCCATGGTGAAGGCTCAAAATTTTGACTCCACTTTTCAACTAGACCTGACCCAACATGTTCTGACAGCCCAGCCCAATCTGATTTGACAGTGGTCTCAAGCTGGTGACTGTACTACTGGCAACCCTTAATTGGATTGTACGCACTTGTTATAGAAGGATTACGGTAAGGTGCATGGGAATGCGATCACTTTCAGGTTCCCTTTGAAATTGCACATGCTGTCAGGTGCTTTGGATATGTCAACCAGTTTCTGTATTAAAAACACTTTACCCAAGCACTCTTGTGGCAAAAGTGCACAATATTCGGTTTGCGGTTCAACTTGATTTTATTAACAATCTATTCGTTATTATAAAAGTCACGTGAGCATTTCCCAAACTCCCACAATATTTACTTTCTATCTAGCTCTATCTGTCTGCCCGCAATGATGCACATGTTTGAGTTGGGCCGTTGGAATCTCCTTTCTCTCCAACATAAGGCTGGCTCTCTTCCACAAAGATGGGCCTCACAGAGGTTCAGTTGGGATCTTCTCCTGGGTCTTCTTGGGTTGCTGCACTGTCTCTGCCAGAAGTTATGTTATGCGTCTTCGCTGAGGTTACTGCAAAGGTGGCTTTCAGGTGTGTGTCCTTAACCCCCTCACCCCTGACCTTTCAGAATATTCTGTGGCATTTGGCCAATGTGGTCATGAGCAGGGTTCAAAGCATCCAATCTGATCACACCAACACTCTGCACAGTTCCTATGC